TAGGATTTTGGTAAATTTGATCTCCTGCAAGAGAAATCATTCCAGCTCGAAACAAAAGTGACTGGGAATGAGTCACTGGATGAGCCAAAACTTGGTTTAAAACAGAGAGGCAAGAATTTGTCAGCTTTAAGATAAATTTCAAGGCAGGAGAAATAGGTTCATTTCATGCTCGAGGTAGAAGAAAGCTTTTTACACCCACATGTCTTATSAAATTATTTCCTGGAAAATTAGATGTGATCGGTGTTAGATGGAGCTGTTTCAAATGGAGAGGCAGAAGARTTCCCTCACTTCAGCCAGCTCTGAGCACATCTCTGTGAAAGAAATGAAAAGTGTTACAAGATGTGCTCATGGCAACAGTGCCCTTCTTCTTCTCCTGCAGTGATAACTCGGGGTTTCAGGGAAAAAAAGAAATGTGCTTCAAGTTTGGGTGGAATAGTTCGTTATTTGAGGGGGAAAAAGAGCAGGAAACAGTGAAGGAAATGTTCTTTTCTGTGTGGAATGAAATGTGTCCATTGGCATCACAAAAGTGGGAGGGATTGAAATGTATTCCTTGTTTGCTGCTGCTTCTAACACGTTTGTGTCTCTTAATTGGAGATGAGGAACAACAGGAAGGGTTTGCTGCCAGAGCCAAATCCAGTGCAGATCATGAARAGTTTGAATAATCCAGCAATGCTGCAGATGCTGCTGCAGCCCCAGCTGCGTGGCCAYGCTGTCAAACCTGGTAAGCTCTTCTAAAACAATTCAGAATTAAACCCTGTTTTAGTGCTGTGAGGCTTTGGCAAAGGAGAGAAATGGAAATAGAGTTTTAAAATCAGTGCAGGCACTGGTTCAGTGTKTTTGTGCAGAGAATTTCACATTTCCTGAAAGCAGAAGCAGGAGGTGCTTTGCTGCACTCGTGTGTTTGGGGACAATTCAGTGTTACCTGCAAACATCCTTTGATATTTCAGAGGATATTTCAGTCTGTGGGCTCTGAATTATTTCATATTAGAAATGAGTTTAGTAAGAAATGTCTCTTGCAAGAMTTTGATCCAAGTTTAAATCTGGTTCTAGATCTAAATTTTGCAGTCTGAGTCTTTCTCCTGTCATTCCCACTGTGAATCTTTCTTTATTCCTTTGGCTGCTGCAGAAAATTAGCCAGAAACATTTCTGTGTTCTCACCAGGATGGGAATAAACCCCAACCCCACACAATTCACATTTCAGAAGCAGCACCTCCAGGGGATCTTGGAGCTCTCCTGGTGATTTTATATCAGAGCTGGGACTATTGAAATAATTCATAACCTTCCCAACCTAAACAAATCCATCATTCCCTTATTCTCACCTTTGGGAATTTCCTAGGAAAATTTAAAAAATTAAAAATTACAGGGTAATTCCAAAGATTTTTACTTGCCTGATATATAAAATACAAATTTTTGTGTGTGTGTTTCTCAAACAGTTCTTGGAGCATCTGCAGGTTTACCTCACCTCCTCAATTCTGCTGTTGCCCCACCTTTTCTGCAGCTGAATAAAGTTCATCAGGTATGTGAGAAAAAAATCATCATCAGAAGGGGTTTGGGGGGATCTTCACATGAGAAATCCCAAAGTTTTCAGAAATTGCAGCTCAAATCAAGTGTTCTTGTTAAAGCTCTAAGGAATATGATCCTTTAAAAAGGATTCAGCAGAGGGGATCTGGAGGTTCTTCATCTTCCAACTCGAGCCTGGTTTTCAAATTCTGGCTTTTAATTTTTCTTAGATGTAAATTTTTCTAAGTTATAAATAATAACTTATAAGTTAAATAGTTAAAATTACAAAGTTATAATATCCTGTGCCAAAATAATGCATTTTCAGCTGTTTCAGTGTTGTTTTCCTGGGGCATCCAGCAGTTTGTTAAATCTTTTTAAGTCCAGAGCTTTTCCTTTGAAAATTCTGGCCAAAAACCAATTTTTCCACTCTTTTATTTCTGCGACTTTTGCAACTGGAGCATTTTGCTTTGTTGATTTGGCCAAGTTTAGAAGGAGCAGCCCCTGGCACTGGTGACAATAAACAGCCCTGGATAATTTCTGCTGGAAATGGCTGAGACAATTCAAATAGAAGCTGAACTAATCGAGATATGGCACATATTTGTTGGAAAAAASCACTTTTCTGAGTCCAGATCATATTTTAGGCATTGAGGCTTTTCCCTTAGGGAATTCAACCCTGCCACAAAGGGGCCTAGGCTCAAAAAAAAAGGTTTGAAACTATTTAGGGAGGTGTTTTGCAGTCTTCATCCTCTGGTTTTGGAGATCTTTCCTATGGAGCAGATTAAAAAAAAAGAAATAAATAAAGAAGGGTGTACTTGGCATGATCTGACACCATGCACTGTATATTTATTTTTATTTTTATACCTATAGAACCACCTATATTTTACCTGGCAGAGGAAGCTGCCAGCCAGTTCCAGGCCTGCACCATAAATCATGATGTCTRTTCAAGTTTATTTTAAACCTCAGTGCTGAATTTACCAGCAGCAGAGTCTGAAGGTGGTGTCCTGAGATTCTTAATGAAGTGGCTCAGTTCTGGCAGCCAGAATGTTTTGAATGAACAATGTTAATATTTTATGGATTTGCCAGTCTGCAGGCACTGGGATTTGTCAGCTTTTGAAAGGCTCTGGAGTAGGATTTCATGTAGATTGCTGTGGGGAAAACATATCTGGGTATTTCTTTGAAGCAGAATCAGCTCTGTGGGGGAAATTGTTATTTTTCTTTGCTCAAATAACAATTTAACTGAAAATCTTCAATTTGCATCCTTTGTCAGAGCTCGGTGCTGGGGAGCACCTCCAGCCTGCTGCTGCAGAGCCCTGCTCACCTTCCCCTGCCCCAGCAGCAGCTGCTGAAGATGGACAACATGCAGGCAAACACTGTAAGACCATCCCTGCAACTTTCACCCTCTTTGGACAGTTTGACAACTCCTAAAATAAATCATTTTTATCACCCCGTGATCTTTAAGGTCCTTCCAACCCAAGCCACGCCGTGGTTCTTTTATYAATTATCATATTCCATAATTATCATATCCCACGATAATTTTGTRCAGTTTGGTGGGGGTGAAAGGATGAAAAATGTAGAATTTATAAGAAATATCTATGGACAGATTATTTTAATCATTCACACAGTTWTCTCTTTTTCCTTTCAGAAGCCAGGTTTGCTGGGGGAGCCTCCAGCAATGCTGCTGCAGACTGTCCTGGGGATTGGGGTGATGCCAGCAGTGAATTCCAGCCTGGCTGCTCGAGGAGAAGCTCTCAAGAGTAAATCTCATTTTAATATTTCATCCCAAATCCATGAAAATGCCCCAGCTTTAATTCATTCCCCTCATTTTGTCCCTCTGTACCCAAAACAGGGTGTTAAATACTCTGCTCACTGCCTTTTTCAGTACAGCTGGACTATGTTTTTTTTAGGAGTGGAATTTTGTGGGGTTTTAACATCCAATCTGTGACAGATGCAAATTTCTGTGCCACTGATACTCTCAATTATTCCTCARAATGAGGAAGCATCAGTTGGATACTGGGATGTTCACCTGGGGAAGAGAAGGATCCAGGGAGAGCTCAGAGCCCCTTTTGGGGCCTAAAGGGGCTCCAGGAGAGCTGGAGAGGGACTGGGGACAAGGGATGGAGGGACAGGACACAGGGAATGGCTTTAAGGTGGAAGTGCAGATTTAGATGGGAGTTTGGGAAGGAATTTGGGGARTTTGGGGAGGGTGGGTGGCACAGGGTGCCCAG